AGCACTGAAAATCTCAAAAGATGACAAATTCTGCAAATTTTGTAGGAGAGACACCCATAATTCTAATGAGTGTAGATTTAAACCCAAAGATATACACAGAACCCGTACTACGTCCCATACTAGTGACAACAAAGTCTGTAGGCATTGTAAAAAACCTGGACATTTGTTAGAGGACTGTTATCTTAGAAAAAGAAAAATTGAACAAAAAGGAAGATTTTTTTTTAAAAAGGAAAATGAGGAGCCCACTCGAATTAAAAACGAACATTTGAATTTTGTGGATTCCACAGAAAAGAATACTTCACTAAAGAAACAAACTGATGTTTCTGAAGGTGTTCGAAATATAAAGATCCTTCATACCATTGGTAACCTCAATTTTATCAATGTATTTTCTAAAAATTCCAAAAAGGGGAACTCAAAGTTTCAATTCTTAATTGACACGGGGTCTAACGTAAACATAGTAAAAGCATGCAAATTGACTCCTCAAACAAATATTAATTCAAGTGAGAAAATTAATATATTTGGTATTAGTCCAAACCAACCTATCAAAGCTGAAGGCACCTGTGTACTCACATTGAGAGTAGGAAATCGCCCAATCTATCAAAAAATTTCATATAGTAAATCAAGTGAGTAATGTCCCTTATGACGGTATATTAGGAAAAGAATTTTTTATAAAACAAGAAGCTTGCATAGATTACAAAAACCGAACCTTGCTACTAAAAAACTTATCTAAACCCATACCTTTATTACCTAACAAGAACCCTGATCGGAACCAGATTCATTTGAAGGCCAGAACGATCACTTTGGTTCAAATCGATATTAAAAATCCTGAAATTAAGGAGGGAATGATCCCAAATATAGAATTAGGAAATGGAATCTATCTATCCAAAGCTATCGTAAAAGTAAAAGATAGGAAAGCTTGTGCTACCGTATTAAATACGCAAGTAACAGATCAAACTATTGAACCAATATCTGTTAGGTTAGAAGAAATACCCGATTCCATTTTCCAAATATCCAACTCAAATACCACTTTCGAAAGACAAGAGTTACTCATTGACAACTTACGATTGAGTCACATAAACTCAGAAGAGGCAAACTCGATTGTTAAACTTTGCAAGAAATACTCCGATATATTCCACTTACCGGGAGACGTACTAACTAAAACCGATGCTATACAACATGAAATTAATGTGACAGATCCTTGTCCTATTTTTTCCAAAATTTATCGATTTCCAGAAGTTCATAAGGAAGAAGTGAATCAACAAATAAGAAATATGTTAGATCAGGAAATCATTAAACCTTCTAATTCACCCTGGTCTTCTCCTTTGTGGGTAGTTCCGAAAAAGGCTGATGCCTCAGGTGAAAAGAAATGGAGAATTGTCATTGATTATAGAAAGTTAAATGAAATAACTGTAGGCGACAAATTCCCAATCCCTAATATCGAAGAAATTCTCGATCAATTGGGACACTCAAAATATTTTACTACCCTCGATTTAGCATCGGGTTTTCACCAAATTCCTATGAAAGAATCAGACCAACATAAGACGGCATTCTCGACCCCCCTGGGACATTATGAATTTACTCGAATGCCGTTTGGTTTAAAGAACGCACCTTCTACTTTTCAAAGGTTGATGAACACCGTTTTGGCGGGATTACAAGGGTTACAATGTTTCGTGTACCTCGATGACATTGTAATTCACGCCAGTTCTATTGAGGAACATGAGATCAAATTGAAAGCTATTTTTGACAAACTTCGCCAAAATAACTTAAAATTGCAACCAGATAAATGTGAATTCTTAAGAAAGGAAATTGCTTACTTGGGACATCTTATCAGTGATGAAGGTGTCCGACCAAACCCCGAGAAGGTACAAGGCATAAACTCATTTCCCACTCCTAAAAAGGTCAAGGATATCAAATCCTTTCTAGGTCTCGTTGGCTATTATCGGAAATTCATAAAAAATTTTGCGCAACTAGCAAAACCTTTGACCTGTCTCCTAAAAAAGAATAAAGCTTTTGTTTGGACAGAAAAAGAACAAGAAGCCTTTGATGCATTTAAAAACATTCTTATTAACAAACCTTTACTACAATACCCAGATTTTAACAAGGAATTTATATTAACTACTGATGCTTCGAATTTTGCCATAGGAGCGGTACTTAGCCAAGGAGAAATTGGTAAAGACTTACCTATAGCTTATGCCTCACGAACACTAAACGATTCCGAAGTGAATTACAGTACAATAGAGAAAGAATTACTTGCCATAGTATGGAGCGTAAAACACTTCAGACCTTATTTGTACGGACAAAAATTCACTATCGTTACTGACCACAAACCTCGACACCACGGGATTGATTCACTGGAGTTTCGTCTGTCAATCAAGCTCGACGTGGTTGTTCTACATTATTAAAGACAGACAGAGCATCTACGGTTGGACTTAGTAGTAAAGCTTTTGTTTTCACTTATATTATATTTAGTGTTTAACTGATAAGTAGTGTAATTAGTGGTATTTCTGGTTAATATAATATATTAGATGGAATTTGTCTATTTATTATGTTGAATATCCAAATCAGCTGCGAGCATACTACAAAGTCAGCAACACCGATTTCCTCGAAGAACGAGATCCATAACACTAGTTCTATCGAAGAACATGAAACTACAAATTAAAAGCCGCCACCTCTGATAAACTCCGGCAAAACAATCTGAATTTACAACCAGACAAATGCGAATTTCTAAAGAGGGGAAATTGTCTACCTGAGATATATCATGAGCGATGACGGTGTCCCAACCTAATCCTGAAAAGGTGCAAGGCATAACCTCATTCCCTACTCTTAAAAATGTCAGAGATATCAAATCCTTCCAAGAACTCGTTGGTTACTATCGAAGATTAATAAAGAATTTCTCACAAATAGCGAAACCCTTGACCTGTCCTCTAAAAAAGGATCAGACTTGTCTCGGGACTGAAAAAGAACAGAAAGCATTTGACTAACAAACCTTAACTCCAATATCCAGACTTCAATAAGGAATTCGTATTAACTAAAGATCCTAGATGAGAATCACGTCTCAAAGTTAGCGGATCACATTTCGGGTTTGCGAAAACCTACAAAAGAATCAAAGAAAATTTCAAGTGGGAATCCACGGGAAAAGAAAAGTGCGTCTTTTCAGGAAAATAAACCCCTTAAGGTACCACCTCTTGAAATTAAAGACAAATAGAAGCGGCACACCAGAATGCCATTATTGGAATGGGAAAATACATAGAATCCCATCAAGAGGACCCTATCTTAGCCCAAGTTATACATGCAGAAGAAAAAACTACAAAAAAAGGAGTTCTGAAAAGGGCAAAACCCCAAAATCGTCCAAGAAAATAAAGAAAACGAGATAATGGAAGAAGGGCAACTTGCAACAAGTTTCCTTCATCCTCAATTCTTTATGGCAAACATAACAATACGTGATAAAACATAAAACATAAAAAAAAAAAGAAAGGAAGGAAGGAAGGAAGACCTCGTATGAAATTTTAACATTTTTTTTTTTGTGATAATTTGATTACTATTATTATTAATAATAACGACAATGGGAATTTTCCCATTTCGAGGGAAATTTAGATTCGTCACTGATTTTACAACATTTTTCAATAGTAAAAAAACAAAGAAAAGGGCAAAAAAAAAAAAAAAAAAAGAAAAAGAAACCAAAAGCGAATCAATTCTTTTGTCATTTTAGCCTGCCTCCGCTCTGAATTTTAAATTTTTTTTTTCGGGCTTTCAGGTCCCTGAATTATTTTTACAATGATTTGTTTTTTTTTTTTTTTTTAAATGACCCAAACTTCACGTAAGGTAAACCGGAGTCAACAATGTTTTTTTAAACCCTATCCCCAAAAAAAAAAAAAAAAAAAAAAAAAAAAAAATTTATTTTACTGCTTTTTACAAGTCGAGAGACCAACCTAAACCTAAACCTTTCAAACAGTTTTATTTTTGCATTCTCCCGATTCGAATCCATCCGTCGTCCGAATTTTTTTTAAGGGGGAGAAGAGTAGGTTGAAAATGGAAAATAAAGAAAATTACGAAGTGACACTAGTGGCTCAAGGTGAAATTTTCGACGTGAAAAAAAATCCGTTGATTTTATCGAGTCCGTATTTTAAAAATATCGTTCAAGTAAGTTGAAAAACCAATTTTTTTTTTTTTTTTTATAAACAAATCCAATCACTTTCAACTATTATTATTATTATTATTATCATCTACGTTTTAGAATAACGAATCCAAACACCCGATTATTTTTTTCAAAGGAATCGAAAGTGAAATCCTATCGAATTTTACTAATCTTGCAAACGAAGGATTTACTAAAATTCAAACAAAATCCCTCAACGATTTTTTAAATTTTTG